TGATGCCCGCGACCTCAGACTCAGCACCTAGATCACAGCTGCATTTGTCTGCTTCAGCGTGCGGAGAATTGCAAAGCTGCCATGGCTGTGGCAGGCCAAGTGCTTCTGTATCAGCTCTGGTCTTTGCCCATCCAGAGGCGCGGAGGGCGCAAAACGAAAGTCGCCTTCCATAACTCCCATACTGTCGCAGGCTAGGTACTTCTCGGTGGGCCAGGTGAACGTCGATCAAGTGCAGCAGGGAGCTTAAGCACGTTGAAGCACTCGCTTGTGATGGCCTTGCTGGATTTCAGACCACCAGCCCGCAAGGTCCTACGCCGAGCGCCGCGGCGAGACGGGCGTCGAGGTGCCATGCTCCTTACGCAGCCTGCACACGCCCATGTGCGTTCAAGTGCTCCAGGGATTCTGCTTGCACCTCTGCTGCTTGAAAAGGGCACGGAGAGATGGCTTGGGAGCACGGTTCTGGGTTACGAGAAGCGATGCAGCTGGGATGAAATGCGAGCTTGGTTCAGTACTGTGTGCGGTGGTCCAACAGGCCAGTTCGTTTCAGTGCCATCGCAGGCTGCTGTGGGTAAGGCTGGTAAGGCTTAGATTCAGATGCTTGCCAGGCCTCAGCTGGCCCATTCTGCTGCATGTTTCATACATTTCACCTTCAGCCTAGACTATTCTACCTGCACTAGTGGCGGACGACTGTGTAAAAGGGCAGGTATCTCGTGCATGAAGCTGACACTAAGGATGAGCAAAACTCCAACGATCAGTCACCAAGGCTGCTTCACAGCCTAACACTTGTGGCGTTTGGTCGCAAGTCTAATCCTGTACATTCCCTACTTCGCAGTGATGGGACAAAGTCTCACAAGTCTGAGGGCCAGAGTTTGCGGAAGCATGGCAATGTATGCATGCTGCTAGCACTCTGCTTCTTGGGGCAGTTCATTCTTAGGCGCACTCGAGCAAATGCAGCGTTTATGCGTAGCTCAGAGCAAGGAGGGCGCGTCAGCAAAATGCATTGCTCATCATCTCTCAAGCATTCCTTTAGGATCCCTGCTCGCGTTGTGGTGACAATATTTTGATTTGCAACGAACAAAGCAGCGGCTGTGAATAAAGTCTTTCGGATCCTTGGCCACTCTGGCTCTGTGGCATTGCTGTTTCTTGCAGTATCCGGCCCGCGCCCCAAACGCCTCAAGAGTCAGTGATACACAGCCATTTGCCGCCTGCTTGAAGCACTATGTCAGGCCCTTCCTCTGGAGTTTTTGGGTGCCGAAAGCTCAGCTGGCAAGCCATGTACCTCATGCATCCCCTTGCCGTCTGCCGATGTTGTGTGCTTGAAGGCCGTAATTCGCTTCCTGCATTCCCATACTCTCGCGAGCGGCTGACCGTACCTCGTGTGAGGCCAGCTTGACACTTCAGAGTAGCTGAAGAACCAAGGAATCATGTCTCAAATCTTGACTTGAGCAAGGAACGAAGACAGGAGTTCTAATCAAGTTACTGCACGAGATTCAACAGGCGCGCGGAATTCTGGTAGGAGGGATGGGCTGCTGCACTCGGCTTCAACTTCAACTCTGTAATGCTCTGCTGCGAGTGCTGTGTCCGGCAACGAGTACAGGGCAACTACATTATGATGTGATGTGTACAATTGGACGAAGCTCTGAGTTCTCGACAATAATGGAACTGGAAGCAAGAGATTTTTGCTGATCTCTTTCTACACATCTTGCTCCTGTGACACTCAGTTTCCACACAGCTTTCGGTTGAAGACTCCCATAAATGCTGATGTCTGTGCTATGGGCTGGATTGCATCGCCTTTCTGGGCGTTAGCCTGAAAAACCACGGACTTCTGCTCTTGAGAAAAGATTCTCAGCCGTAACGTGGAACATATGGGCTGGGCAAGGAGAGCCATGGATCGAAGTGCACAAATTGGCCCTCCGCCAGACTTGTAATTCCAAGAGCACGTCGACTTGGATCATGAGCACAAACCTCTGGCACAAAAGCGCACCCATCGCAACAGCAAAGGAATTGCCCCGCCCTGAGTAAGTCGTGGTGGATGCACTAAAGCTGCTTTGAGACATGCGCCCAGAAAGACATTGCAAGTCTAAGCCAGAGGGCAGCTTTCATTTTCAGAGCAGCACGCTAAGTCTTTTCAGCGTGGATGCTGAAGCATTGTACCAGCTTTTCTGAGAATGTCTAATCAGTAGTGTTGTTAGGCAGATGCAATTCGTAGCCTCTTAGAGCATCTTCCAGCTCATGGAGTTGTTCTGCGTTTTGATTCGTCTGCAGTGTACAAGGAGGGGATCAATGTGCATGATAAGCTCAGGAAATAGGCAGTCACAGGTCCCATCCGAAGAAGTGACAGCACATGCTAGGGGCCTGGCGAGTCCGGAAAATGTGTCGTGAGCCTTGAGAGCGCGCACGGCCATGTCACATAGGGAATTCCAGCAAACGAACCGATCGGACGGGCAAAGCAATCATTGCTGGCAATGACCCATGCAACTGCCAAAGACACCTTCGAGCACAGTACTGGTATCCTTGATGCCTTGTCGCGCACCTTGCTGTTTCGAACGTTATTATTCGGGAGGGTAAGCCACTCATCGAGCTCTGCAGACATCATGCAATGTGCCATGATAGCACGGGATGCGGGCGTTCACTGGTCTAGTTTTGATCAGGTGGGACTGTGATATCTGTGATGCTCTTCTCAGTTCGCAGCCTCACAACTTGCAAGGTTTTCCGATGAAGCTCTTCAAGCCCAGCACCCCCGAGCAACAGCTCGCGTCGCTGAGGCCATCGGCGTCCAAATCTGTTGAATCTAGACAATTGCATGCGGGGGGTCCTGGAAGGTCTCAGAAGTGCGAAGTCGAATGCACGGCCGAGCATGTGCAGCCGAAGCCCGGCTGCAAGC